TGTAGCCTGAAGATTTGAAGAGTTGGTTGGCGTAGTTAGTGCCTACAAGCAACATTGTCTCAAAATATCGCACCGTTTAGCTAACTTGGACCGTTTCAATTTATTTACAGAAACCCTGTGAGTTGTACTGCGCCCTGTTTCCTGCTGAATTCTACCCTAAACTGCAGTCGACGCAAACAACAATCCCAAGAATACTAAATTTGACCAAAGTTATCTAGGGCAGCTAATTTAATAGACAATTTTGAGTTAAAGTTGTTGCATTTGCTTTGAACAATAATTGAAACAAACAAAAAATTATTACATCAAGTACTTTTTTTGAAATCGGAATATGGCACGTGTCAATAATTTATGAATGCTCATTTTTCATTCCGCTTACGCCAACATTGAAAGAAAAACTTGCTGTCTGTTTCATTTGCTCAATTTTTTCTGATCGGTTGAGTTTCAAGGCAAAGGAAAAAAAGTGAAATTACGCGCAGAGTATAAGAATAATTGCGAGTTCAAGTTTATTCAGGAAATGACGAAAACGAACCATCGGTTGAATAGAAAAAGAACGAAAACCTTCTGAAAGAATGCAGAAAATAATTAGTTTCGTTTATACATCATAATTACAGACTCCTCGCAATTTTGTTAAATAATTTTCGTTTACAAATCCGACCCATTTTTAATTTTGGTTTGTTACAATTTACCAGCATGCGATTTGGGTTAAGGCGATTAGTCAAAGGCATCGCTTTAATAACAGCGTTGTTAGTAATATCTCAACTATTCGGAATCTTCAAAGAAGATGCTGGCCAAAACATTAAGGACCAGGAAAAGCGAGACGTGCCTCAAGATTCAGTGGACAGTCCAGAAAGTTCCGATCACAATGAGACGCCAGCGTCAGTTCCAGAACCATTCATAGCAATCGGGACGTCTAAACGATACCCATCGGACTGGAAGCCAGGAGAAAGAGATCCGTTCTACAACCTCATTTTACACCGGAGCTCAGATAACGATGCAGGTGAACATGGAAATAAGGTTCCTCTCACGAAAACAGAAGCTAGAGAGTCTTCCTTGAGGTTCAAAGAAAACAATTACGACATCGTGAGAAGTGATAAGATGTCACTTGACCGAACTGTGAAAGATTTACGACACAATGATTGCTTCGGGGTCAAATACGACGACCCAAAAGACCTTCCAAAGACATCAGTTGTCATCATTTTCGTGGACGAGGGGCCCTCGGCCTTGATCCGAACTATAGTCAGCGTGCTGAACATGTCGCCGCGAGAATCGATCTTGGAAATCATTCTGGTGGATGATTCCAGTGAAAAGAGTGAGATACAAGACACTTTGCCGAAGTTCGTCACACAAATGATGCCACCAATTGTGAAACTAGTCCGGACGAAAGAGCGCTCGGGTTTGATTCGGGCGCGAATGGTAGGCTCGGATCTGACAACTGGCGAAGTGATCTTATTCCTCGACAGTCATTGCGAGGCAAGTCCTGGGTGGCTGGAGCCCCTTCTTCAAAGAATCAAAGACAATGATCAGAACGTAGTGATGCCTTCCCATGATATAATCAGCAAAAAAGACTTAGAGTTTTACGGATCGAAAACGATAGACAATCAGGGATACTTCAACTGGCGACTGATGCACACATGGCAAGGTTTGCCTGATTTTGACCGGAAGTTGATCAAAACTAAAGCAGATCCGGTTCGATCCCCGACAATGGCCGGCGGACTTTTTGCAATTTCGAGGCGTTTTTGGGAATACCTGGGCAAGTACGACCCTGGTTTCCTAATATGGGGCGGGGAAAACATAGAGCTGTCTTTCAAACTGTGGATGTGTGGGGGCAGACTAGAGATCATCCCTTGTTCTCACGTGGGACATATTTTCCGCGATGCACAGCCGTACAAATTCACTGCGCACAATGCATTGAGGATCAACCAGAAGCGACTGGCCGACGTGTGGCTGGACGAATACAAAGAAATAGTGTACAGACTTCAACCTGGTTTGGAGAAAGTGGATGGCGGAAACATTTCCGAGAGAATTGCTTTGAGGAAGAGTTTGAACTGTCATAATTTCAAATGGTACCTCGACAATGTAGTTCCAGACATGTATGTGCCCTCGCTGAAAAATAAAGCACAAGGTGTGTTGTCCTTGACGTCTGAGGAACTTTGTCTCAGTTCGAATGGAAATAGCGATACAGGAGCTGTGCAGCTTAGAAAATGCTCAGAAGAGAAACAAAAATTTGAGTTTACAGACCAAAATGAAATTCGATTCAAGTTCGACAACTGCTTGGAATACACGCAAAGTGGAAACTTTGAACTTAACAAGTGCAATGGAGCCGCCGGTCAGAAATTCTCCTATTCGCCAGATGGCCTGATTGTCCTAAAATTGGTTCCCAATTTATGCCTGTCTTCAGGAAAAGTATCGAAACAAGCAGCTCTACACATTGATGCTGTTCATTGCAATAAGGAAGATTCTCTACAAAATTGGAGTTTCAAGTAGATTCCTCAACAATAAAGTTTTAATAAAGTATATTGTCAAAAACGAAACAAAAGTTGCATAGACTTATGAAAAAAATAAAAATTCGATTTCCATGTTCTAATCGTCAAATTCTTTTGTATATTTCAGAATTCATTTATTTCCTGTTAAGTATATTCGTTATTTAATTCAATATTATTTATCAGAAAGTTGAATTTATTAGAACTGAGAATAGAAATAATGGTTCACTTGCGTATTTCTTTACTGAGCAACACACGGATTGTCAATAAAATGCTTTAACGAATCTGAAGAACTCAATGGTAATGGCAAGAGAATTTTTTCAGGCTTTTCAATTTTTTAGAGTCGATAGACGGAAGGAGTGAAATTTCATTTAGTTGCAACAGTTTTACGTCTGATTTCTATGATTGGTCTATTTTCTACTGAATTTCTTTGTGAAGCTCAAAAAAGCTCTACAGAAAAAAAAAGAAAAATGGGAAGTAAATTGTGACCGACTTTTAGTTTAACAACAGAGTAAGGTTTGAAGCTGGAAAAAATTAACCGGTAACCGGTTTGCTCAAAGTTGTTTAATTTATCAAAAAAAAACATCTGAGGTTAATTGAAAATAAAAGAGACTACCGATAGTGCAATATGTTTAATTGAACACACAAGTTGAAAAAGTATAAAGATGTTTTCGCTGTCTTTCAACTAACACCTTTCTACTAGCTTGAGCATATTTCGAATATACAAATCATGACAAAAAATAACAGGTTAAAAAGCCAAGATTATCGTTATTTCCTGTCATCTTTGGTGACCTGATGAAAATCATATCACACTTGCGACGCAAAAATTGAGGAACTGAAGAACATTCAGAAAAACTGCCACAAATTCCGGCTATTTTTGAAATTTTTAGAAGTATTTAACCTCAAAAGAGATTTTAATAAGATAAGTTTTTAAACACCAAGAGTTTCTCAAAAAAAATTCTGCAAACCAAACATATCTTCACGCCATATTTCAATGATATTTCAAAAAACAAGTGTATCAGTGCGGAGCCCGAGAGTTATTATGCAGATTCATATTGAGATTGATGGAAAATTAACTTGCCTCAAAATCAGTCCGTAATTATAGTCGTTTTTATGACAAAAATATACATGAACTAAAAATATGCCATCAAGGATAAAAATCTAATTCATTCCCATGTTCTTCTTTTTGGTAAATTTTCATCTAAAAGGCACTCGACATATATTGCACCGAAATCCTGGATAGGTTTGATTAAAACCATGATAAACTATTTCAGTTGACACAATTCGATACTTGGTCAAACTCGAATTTATTAGTAGAGAGACAGCAAAAAATATAGAATCAGATCATATTTAGTTCAGCTTCAATAGATCAGATAAGTTCGTATATTTCTTCTTTTGAAGGTTCAACTAAGAGTTTTAACTTCGATGAATTTTCTTGTTATCACAGAAACTTTGCCTGTGCTTTTATTTCACCAAAAAAATTTCCTATCATACTACTGCCTGGTGGATGCACAAACAGCACTTTGAAAAAGGAGAAAAACGAAACTTTTTCTCGAAAACTTGGACAAACATTTTAACGAAGAAATAACAATAACAATGAGATAAAGCTTACTCTATAGTTGAGTTTTTTTACTTACACAATCACCCTTTAACAAATTGTTTTCTTTAAAATAGTCTGCAAACCGGAATTAATCAGATTTGTCACATGAAGAAAAATTTTCTGAAATATCATGGGGGAATTCGAAAAAATGATACTTCGCTCAAACCCACTCAGCGTTTTTTGTGGCTCTTAAAAGACGCCATAGTTGCTTCCAATCATCCAAATATGTCTGTGAAGTCACCGACAGAGTTCAGTCGAAATAGTTTTTAAAATTTGTAAGAAAAGTCATTTAAGTAAAAAAAACTCTAGTTGCCGATGACAAGTCATTTGCCCCGGCAAGTGTGAACATGCACAATGAACTATGGCGAAATTTATTTATTTGATAATTTCTGAAGTTTTTTGAATCTGCGTTTGTACCCTAATATTTAATTGTGGTTTCTGTGATTCGTAGAGAATCTTTTGAAAACTATCTGGCTGAAATTCTTAATTTCTCTTATTTCCCGTATTCCAGACTAATTGTTTTTATTGAGCGAAGTTCATTTTTTGCGAATCAAGGCCACTTTTTGTGTCTAGACTTTTTACGTAATACCCACAATTGCAGCCGAAATTGGCCATGATGGGGTAGACCTGAAGCTAGAGGTTGAATGCCAGCTCATTGTCACTAATTATCATGGCAATGGCAGGGATCGATCACACGACCTGACGCTGTCGAAGAGAACGCATTGCCAATATGCTTAGTGCATTTAACCTCCGTTGAAAAGAGCTTCGGTTGCCAGATTTAGGAAGCACAACTTCTTTTTTTAACACGTGGCTTTAGTTTTAATACAATTGACGTAACACTCGAACCACTGATTGAACTAGCAAAAAATCTACTATATTATACTACTACATCATACGACACATCATGGTCACTAACTAACCTTGAGTATTCGTTCTTTGGCTTCTTCTGTCAGGGCTATGTAGAAGTTCTCTCCAAACTTGAAGTATGGATCATATGCGATCAGGATGCTGTCGCCCGCATAATTCTGAAATAACAAAAGCCTGTAATCAGTAAGCCCAACAAAGCATCGTCAAAATATCAAACAAAACTACAGCGCGCAACTGTTAATAAATAGCAAAACATTTAAATAGGTTTCTGAGAATTGAAATAGTCAGACTGAAGATTGGTGGTAAAAAAAAGCAACCGAATATCTGAGTTAGTCGTTATCCTTATTATTTATTATATTTGCTCCTCGCCTGAATGGTTTGTTTCACGACTGAGAAGTCGGACACTGCTGCCCGCTTAACCATGTCGTCCACGATGGCCTGTTTGGGGATGAGTTTGAAAGGCTCCTCAACTGTCACTTCACTGTCAGTCGTGCAGCCGAAGATGCTCTGGGTAGGGGCGGAGAGAAACACCGGCTTTAGGTCCCCCGGAGGAGCTGCAAATAGTGATACTTGATGATGATGTAATAAATCGTAATAATTATGGCATCAGAATCATCATCATCATCAACATGATTGTAATTATCATCGTCGTCCTATTCAATAGTAACAACATCAAAATAGAGCCAGAATTGCCCCTGCTTTGCAGCAAAGGAACTAGTTCGGGAACTAATCAATTTTAATTGAGAGAGAGAGAGAGCTACGTACAAGGAGTAACCAATCTTTTTGACCTGAAAATTAAATATCAACAGCCAGATTCCGTTCTTCGATAGAACTATTGAAATCTCACCAGATTACAAAAGAGACCATTAAAGCACAAAAAGTATATAAAAACAAACTCACTATCATTTTTAAAAATATATATCGACGCAAAACAAAAGCTATCAAAAATTATCCAATGATCGATATGCAAATACAAACGTTATAGTGAAACGAAAACAAAGGATTATAAAAATTGGTACTTGCTAGATCTCTTTAATAAAATTTGATTGTAATAATTATTAATTTTTACAGGAACAGCCGGTTCCTTTTCAGAAAAACCTTTTCAAAATTCTTTTGGCAAATTCTTCTTTTTTTTCAGAATTAGAGGCTGGGTGGTATAAGTAAACTTTAGCGGCCCAGAGAAAACATTGTGTTTTCATGTATAAAAATTATGAAATTTATCACTGAAACTCCCGATATGAAAAAACCTGATGGCCAATCAGAATTGAATATTCAAAAATCATTCAAAAGCAGACATTTTACGAAAACGACGAAAACGGCTAAAAACATGCCCTTTAAACTAGTTTTGACCAATTAAATAATAATAATAAATAATAAAAAAAATAAACAGATACATTAAATTTCAAACATTACGAAATCGAAGTTGGAAATTCGAAAAAAAACTAAAGCCGATTTTAGAACACTGAAAATTAAAATAAATTTTATTGTATATCTGCATGAACTGTGCAGCAGAACTTCACTGTGCTGCTATAAATCAATTTCTGTTGCTAATGACTTTGGTTTTGTGCAAAAATCATTTAGCCAATAGGAACAATCCTGATTGGATAAAATATATTCATCATTCGGTCTCTCCATACCCCCCAAAAAAAATTCCTCAAAATTTTATCAATGTAGCTATTAGAAGTGTCTCCCCTTTTGATTTCAAGTAATCTTAACTCTAAATTAAGTTTTTTTGAAAATGGGGAGGAACTATGTATACGAGTGTTTTAGTTTTTGTTCTTTTTTTGTTTTCCAAGCAAAATCTGGTTCCACTAATCATCATCAGAATGGGTCAATTGATATACCAAATTCAAGCTCTTTCTTTCGTAATTTGAACGACCTTAAACATTTTTCAAAAAGTAGCCTCATTGTTGAAAAAAAGTGGCTTAAAATTTTTTATTTTTAGTTCAATTTCGAGCGAGTGAATCCATCAAGTAACAATTTTTATACAGAAACGAAGCTACGGTTTGCAAGCACTAGCAAGAAAACGACAAAAAAGCAGCTGGTTTTTTTAAAGCGAAATAAGAAAATGGTCGAGAATTGGAGTCTCGCACTCTGCCCTCTCGGCAATGAACGCTTAACAATCGGTAAACACTAGTCACATAAAAGCAGTTACATATGCTAATAAATTGCCAATGCGATGCAGCAAAATGGCACCAACTACAAATAGATACATTTTGCAAGTAATAATTTGGAATATATTAAACTGAAGGCTTCCACACTAACTTTGTATTGAATAAATTGGAAAACATAAAGCCACATTAAGTATAAATCATGCATTTCAAACTATTGCGAGATAAATTGAGCTAGAAAATTTCTTAAATCGAGCTTTTATTATTGTTAAGTTGTTTGAAACAAATTTTTTTCGGTTCAACTTATGAAATAAAAATGGATCAACTGGACTAATTTATTACTAATCAAATGTCAAAGCACATGCTATCAAAAGCACATGCAGTAAAGGTGCCACCAAAAGTGGCACCAATATTTGCGACTGAGGTTAGAAAAAAGAATAGTCGTACTATTACACGCTCAATAAAGTTGTTACTCTTATTTAAATTTTAGGGCTGAAAAAAATCAGTTTTGGTACAAAGAAAAGTAATTTTGGGTGTGGACTTTAGTGCATCTTTGGCAATTAAGGTTCTCTAATAAAATAATTTTTTTTTCATTTTTTGGTCTTTCTTTTTTTGTCTACGTGATTGTACAGTTCTCAAATCCCACCAATTTAAAACCGACCTAAAATTGTGTATGAAATAAACAAATTTTCAGAGAAAAATGCCTTGAATTAACTGTAAAATAAGTGTATCTATTGTTAACGAGTAGTCTTTGAATCAGTTTTGCTCTTTTTTCTAGCGGAATTCACTTAAGCTATTGTTTAAAAATGGGTGGCATTTTTGCTGCATTTTTAGCATTGAAAATTTAACAGCATGTGCTCACCATCATCAACTACTATACATGAGACTTATGGTCCCAGAATAGAAAATATTCCCCAAGACACAGCTAATGCATCTTTTACCGCTTAAACGACTTTAACGAACTTAGTTTTTTCGCCTCTAAAAATCACAAATCGATTACACACAAATATAGAGCAGGCTATTGAAGATGCACCTCTCCCGAAAGTACTGACACTAAAAACCCCCGATTTTTACTCTGTAGAACAATCCCTTCCTCGCTGCACCAAGCAAACCGTTGCCCAATTAAGGTCCGGCTATAGTCCGTTTTTAAACACTTACCTAAACAGAATAGACTCAAATTTCCCTCCAAACTGCCCCATTGTACTTTCCTACTTCCCCATGCACAACTTTAAACCTTTTTAATTGTTCCAAGAACACCACTCCTTTTACCCCAATTGACCAGTGGCTTCAGCCGACTGAGGTCGCAAATTTGCCAGGACTCGGTTTGAGCATGCCGGCACGCCTTTGAGGGCTATCAACAACAACAAAGACAGCAACAACAACAACAACAACAACAACAACAACAACAACAACAACAACAACAGTAACAACATTAGTTTTTATTAAAACGCAGGTAAAGCTGCGCTTCGCAAACACAAGCGAGGAAAATTCAAAAAAAGCTCTAAACAGGCAAACCAGGCAATAAGAAAAGGTTAAAAATGGATTGAGGAACAAATTTTAGTGAGATTAAGAGTATCACGTTGTCACATCTGCTCCACGAACGCTTTTATTTTCACTAACACTAGCTACCAATAAAACAGCTACAGTTTCTATCAAAATGCAGATGCTGCGAAGCATAAGTTCTACCATAAAACAAAAAAAGTATTTCAATGTTCCGGGTTTGAATCTCCGACCTGTTGATTTGTAGTCTTATGTCAACGCATCTGTGCCACGGTCGCTATGAAATAAACTAGTGGCCCAGCTAAACCTGTGACCCTGAGATTAAGAGTCTCACACTCTAACCACTCTGCCACGGACGCTTAATATGCAGCAAACACAAGCCACAATTAAAGCAGAGAACAGATGCTATGCAGTTTCTACATAGTTGAACACTTTTGATGAACATTTTATTTGCGAGTTAGAAGAGAAAAAAATAAGGTTCGTAAAAATACAGCAAGCTGATTGCAAGTGCGATTATAAATTGTATGGATACGGAAAAGCGTGACTTTCAAAAAATGGACTTTAAGCAAAACCCTCGAAATTTGTCACTATGAGTAGGGGATCTATCTCAAATTTGGCTGGGTAGTTAAAAAATGAAACAGATTCCAAAAACGACCAAAAGTTCAAAAACTTGACTCTACCTTAATCTATAAACTTTTCTTTACAAAAGCATGGAAATAGCCTTTTATGCGGGGAAGACGTCTCCGAATTTGAATTTTCAGATTGAACTCTTGATATCAGATTTAGCTAGTAGTTTTCGAGAAACGTGATGAAATTTCAAGAATAAGAATGGTAAAAATTTCAAAAGGATTGTTTCAAGTCCATATCATTTTTTCATATAACAAATAGGCCGATTGCGAAAACGAGATCTAAGCACAATGTTTGTTTGAATGAACGATCAATCTCAGAATCAGCAGGTTAGTTTTTGAAAAAAAAAAATTCCAAAAAACAGGCATAGATTCTTGAATTGCACATTGCAAGTTTTTTTTTCAAAACGCAACGCATAGTCGCTTGCGCAAGAAATATAAGCATAACTGATCTAAAGTTAAACCCTTAATCTCTGTTTTGGTTGAGTAGTTTTGCGAAAAGTCAAAAAGTTTTTAGAATAAAAAATGGGCTTGTTTGAGGCTATAACTTGTTTCTACGGAATTTAGGAAATAACCGCTTAAAAACGGAGATTTCTGAAATTTGTTCTATTGATTGAAACCCTCATCTCAGATTTGTGAATTTGATATTTGAAAAAATGAGAAAATTCACAAAAAATAGCTCAAAAATCCCTCTACTGAAAAATTCGAAGGCTGTAGCACGTGAGGTACACTGAACAGAGACTAGGAAAACATGCAGACACTAAGAAGAGCCGGTTTTTCCATTGGTGCCTTGTTTTTGAAAACTGTTAGAAAAGTTTTTGAGAAAAATTGAAACTTCGGCGAAAAGTGCGAATGTTTTCCAACGCTTCGCAAAAAAAAAGCAACAAAATCCATACATTTTCATCATGCCTGTTTCTTTAAAACAGTACCATACATTACACTAGCCAACAAAAAAGCGGCAAAATATGCTTTTAAATTTCCTATGCCTAAATAGTCTTAAAAATGATTAAATTGAAATATACCAAAGTGACACCAAATGAGCACTTTGTTTGCAACTTAGGTTAGAAAAAAGTCTTTGTAATGATACACTTCGCTTCGCTTGAGTAATTGATGTTTCAACCCTGTGTTTGGTGATATAGGGATACTGAGACCCAGCCATGAGCTGACTACTTTTGCATGCAATTAGTGAATTTCGTTGTTCCGTCGCTAGCCCTTATACCGTAACATTTTCGTCGACCCAATCTTATGGAGGAATTATTTCGAATTGGCATTGGCAGAGAACGTGAAAAGCACGTAGAACTTAATCTTGACGCTAGCCAATCGTCATAGATTTAAGTGTTTCTTTCCGGGCGAATGTTACACAAAATGATTTCCGGAAGTGATAAACACTTTATGCATACATGCTAGTGGGTGTGAGAGTTCGAGTTTCTCCCATTACAACCCACAGCATGGTGCCAATAATCAAAGACTCCCTACACTGTTATTTTACTATTATGGAAAGGCTGTTATGAGAGACCTTGAAGTTCACCAACTGCATTGCAAGACCGATTCCGACAGCTAATTTTTTTACAGAAACTAACTTTCAGCTCCAGTGTCCTCCAGTTCATCTCCTCTGGCTTTCCTTAATTTGGTAACTGAAAGCAATAAAAAAATTTGAAGAATATCACAAACTACTTAAGCATAAGTTATCAACAAATGAAACAAACATGCCTGCAGGAGTTTCAACAGATTCAGCAGCGGACTTTGCTGAGCTGAAACTCATTGTACGCCCTCCAGTCTTGCTTTTTCCACTTGATTGACGTGTTTTAGTGTTGCCTGTAAAAGGGATTAGGTGAAACAAATGCAATTTACAGCAAATATAAGTCTAAAAATTAAAACGAACTTGTGCGTCGGGATCCCTTTCCTGGGGTAGCAGGATTCGATCCTGTGGGACTTTTATTACTTCCTGGCATCCTATCTGAAACAACAAAGAATTTTATTTTAAAATGTCTCGAACTCACAATCATCTGATATAGAGAATTGGTGTCATAATCAAACTTTCAGTGATTTAGTTTTTCAGTTTTGAAGTTTTTTTTTTCAGATTTCAAATTTTTTTCTTTATCAAGATTCAGACTAAAATATATTATCAGTGAGAATTAATTAGTAATTTAATAATTATTGAATCAGGGAACTGATCCTTTAAAAGACCATATGATTAAATGTACCATATCTCATAACGAAATGAATCTAAATAATAGTAGAAAGAGAGTTATAATTTATTATTAACTTTTTTAATTAAAAAATCAGTGTTTAAAAACTGACATGATAAATAACTCAAAGCTGTTAACGAAAAAAGGCGTAAGGGGTCTTTAAACAAAAACTGAATCATAAGCAAAAACTGAGTAAAATCAATACAAAAACGGATTTAAAACAAAAACTGAAGCAATTTAAACAAAAACTCAATCATGAATTAAGCTCTTTGCCTACGAAAGAAAAATACAAACGGAAAGATACTTTTACTTAGACTCCAATTCCTATGGTATCACGTTTGTTGAATTCCAATTCGACAGGCTTCTAGTTGAAGAAAAGAACAATGATGATTTTAAATAGAGCTGATGCACATTTCTTAGAGAAGAAAAGGAAGTGAGATGAAGAACTCTTAGAGGATTTTAGTGTAAAAAAAACTAGAAGTTTTAAAACGTTGCATGAATACTTGTTCAATGCGGTCAATCGAAAATTGATAAAATTGCATATGAAAAAATAAAATAAAGTTATAAAAAATGCACCTGCAGCAAGATAAGAAATACAAATTTCTCCATCTGATATAAACTACAAGGAAATGTCAATTGAACAAAAACTGCTAGGAAGTAGAAGGTAGATATATCAAGCGTATCAGGATACTCTGTATCCGGTACTAAGAAATGTAATTTGAGCACAAGTCACAGAAAGAATAAAAACAGTTTGCGATCAGGACACCCAATATCCGTTTGAACAAAAAATGTACAGAAACAGTTCAGAAACTAAGGTTACTAACTCGATGAGTTGTTTTCGACAAATATGATGTTATTTGATGTACATATTGATTATGAAACTCTCAACTAAAAAAATTAATTTACAATTTGAAAAAAAAAACATTATAGTTGATGTTTTTGCCTTCTGATTTCTACATTTTGAAAGAGAAAAGTCTAATTTTTTTCAAGTATATCTCCGGGTGAAGGCTTTTTTTGCCCCCTACTAGTAAAACCAATCATGAGTCAACAACAACTGACGGAATCTAAGCTACCAATTACTCTTGAAGTGCTGATTGAAACGGAGACAAAATTCAGAAATGCGCTAACAGCAAACAAATCGACGGCAGAAACAAAACAAATCCAAATAATCAAAATCATACCCCCCATTCTGGAGAGAAATTGTAAAGTCAGCTGAAAGATCTGGCGCAGGCATATCGAAGTTGTGCTTCCGATATACTGAAACAATTCCCCACAACAATGCAACAGAAGATGACAATCGTAAAAACAATAACTGTGACAAAAGATCACCGCAAACTTCATACACTGACAGTTATTGCTCCCCCCGAAGCAGAGCAATTCATAACTAGCTTCGAAAGCGAAGGTATCAATCTACTTAACGGGACGGTATTTCCCATGGGATGCTTTCCAAGGTCTCACAAACCCAAGAGCATTTATCCTAAGCTAGCCAAAATCAAATAGTCGAATTTGCCTTATGTATGCAACGATATCGAAGCGAAAATAATTCTCCAATTGCCAGAGGACAAAATTCATAGCCCCATATTCCAACGTGAGACCTGTATCGTAACTGAACCGGGTCAGTATGTTTACACAGGAAGAGCAATTTTAGAATTTGAAATACAAAAGGAAGAACAAGAGAAAAAGCTGACGTACTGGTCTTAAGAATCGAGAATGGATGGCTTTAAAATGTGGGAAGGTGTAGAAATCTCGTTTCACATACCTTCACTACATGGATTTCAAAAATGCAAGATGTCTGGACTCCAGGAAAAAGGTCATCAGATGACTGGTGCAACATAGGAAACCAAAAAACCAATAATCAAAATAATCCATTGCCACAATCACCAAGCTCCAATACTGCCAGCGACTAGAAAAACGACGACGAAACAACAAGCGATAAATTCTGTAATGGTAGCGAAAACGTCGAAGGAAAGAATGTCGAAACACCACCATCTAGATTTTTGGTTAATGAATCTAAAACAAACAGTGCAGCACAACTCCAAGCGAAGAAAAACCAAAGAATGAGGTTCTCAACAATCAGGTCGTAGATTTTCATTCTTACTCAGCAAAAGAAAAAGAAGACAATTTAAATATCGAAACTAAGAAACGAAAATGTTCCTCTGACAGAAGAATGTTTACAAAAAAGAGAGCGTGAAATTTGGTCAGTTTTAACACGGAAGAAAGGGCCTAAAATGAAATCTAAAAATTACGGAGAAGTTTTGGTTGGAGGCAAGTTTTAGCAAAATTTCTATGTGCGAAAAACCAGATATTTTCTCCGTTAACATTTTTAGCATAGGAAATCCAGCTAAATTACACTCACTCATCAAAAAATGCCAAGAATCAAAAAATCGCCCAGTTTCATTTTGTGCATTCAGGAAGCAAAAAAATCAAATCTTAGAAATATACATCTGAGTTTACTGGATAGATATAATGTTTTATTTATTTTCATACCAGGATCGAATATTCTGGTGGTTTTTGAACGTTATGGTCATCAAACTTGAGTCCTGCAAAAAGAATTGCTTCAAGTACAGGTTTTCAATTGTTAAAATTTGTCAAACATGATTGGTTTGCTATCAACGTTTATCCGAACCCAAATTCCTTCCAATCATTTTTGAATTCCCTGAAATTAAGCATCAGATTTTTTTCCAAATAAATCGAAAAATATCATGGTGGGTGATTTTAATGCACTGAGTTATGACAAAAATAACAGTTCTTCAATAAGTAAGTTAAATGATGCACGTATCAAAAGATTTACCCTACTCAAAGAACAAATTCTTGATTGATTTGGTTTTGTTGATTTCGCACTCAATGATTTTTATGATTATACACATTATGACAAACAACATAAAACTTTTGCGCGTATAGATTATGTTTTTATGAATTTCGAAACAGAGTATGACTCTATGCAAAGCACTCAAATATCAATTTCTGATCATTTGCTCTAACACGTTTTTGTTAAGCCATCTAATTTGTATCAGTGCGGTCCTAGTTACTGGAAATTAAATGAAGAAATATTGAAAAACAACGCCAGCTTAATTCGTGAAGATCTAAAAGTATTTTTGAAAATGAATCATCAAGTAGTTTCGAAATTTTTAAGCATAATTTTCGTGACGTTCTGAAAATTATTCAAGAGAAAAAAAGCGTGTAGATCAGAAAAAACTTAATATTTTGAAGTAACACGAAAATGTTCTCAGAGATTGCATTCACAGCGAAAGAGGTTCGAACCCGAATTTGAATGAAAAATATCATTTGGTGCTGGAGCATCTTCAAAAAGTTTCCAAGGAAAAAAAATATTTCAGATTTTCAAAATATTCAGAAAACTCTCAGCTATACTTTTGAGGGTGTGCCCAGTTTTTGTAGTCAATGGACCTAAAAGAAGCCAATTAACTCAATCAAGCGAATTCAAGTGGATCAGAACGTTTATCGTACGGATGAGGAGTTTCTTAATCAATTTCGAAAGTATTTTTCAAATATTTTTCGAATAGTTTTACAACAGACTCCGATCAACTACTAATGATGTTTTCATCAAAAAATAAACTCAAAATAATGAGAATGATTGCTATAATTACCTTACAGAAGATGAAATTTACTTAGCTATAACAAAATGAAATTGAAAAGCTCGCCTGGACCAGATGGCCTTACATCTCGGCCCTATAAGACTTTCACGGATGAATTTTGTTCAATTTTTGCTAAAGTTTTCAAACATTATGTTCATGGTGGAAAACTTCCAAACAGTTTTTATTTAGCAATAATCAAACTGCTCCCGAAATCTGAAAAAGCCATAGCAGTACAAGATTTTCGCCCCATCAGTCTCATGAATACTGACCCGAAAATTTTTGCCCATGTACTCTGTAATAGAATGAAAAAAGATCTTTGCAAATTTTTAAAATCATCAGCACGCGTATTTGCCTGGAAGACACATGCACACAGCAACACAAAAATTGAAAAAAAAAAACAATTGCTCCTGAATGATTGGCTAACCGAGGTTCATGTGCTGTAAAATTAGAATTTTCTAAAGCATTCGACGAAGTTGACATCTCACTTCTCATCAAAATTTTGGAAGGGTTAAACCTCGATGAGTTTTCCGTTAGAGCTATTGAAACTTTGTATTTAGACTCGAAAGCAGTAAATGAGATAAATGGTTTTTATCAGCCAGCTTCAAAATTCATCGCGGTGTGAGACAAGATTTCCCTCTTTCTGCATTTTTATTCATATTTTTTATCGAACCCCTTTTTCAAGCAATTGAATCTACAGAATCAAATGAAGGTTTCGATTTATTGTGCCCCAAACAAGTTTCATATGCAGACGACATAACTTGCTTTATCATATTCCGATGTATTGACAGGTTGTTTTGCTTAATCGATACATTTTGCAACAAACTCAAATGATGATTAACATAAGTAAAAGTGAAGTGCTTTCCATACCTGATTTATCACCATATAAAACAGTCAAGGAAACAAAAATACTTGGTGTCTTGTTTTACACTTCCCAAAAAGTTGAAAATATTGAACTATTGTTGAGTTCTCAAATTCAAAAACATCGAGGGTTATTTTCACTAAGTAAATATTTGAGGGCCAAGTCATTAAAACTGTCAGTTTATGTTCTCCCTGATTTTTTTCATTTGGTTCGTCATACTACATTTAACTTGGATACTGTTAGTAAATGCCAAAAATTATTAAATGCAGAATTGAAAAAATTAAGAAGATTCGACATAAGGAAAGAAGTTTTATATCACCCAATTTTAGACAGTGGGGTAGGCTTACCATGCCTACAACTCAAATTTTTCAGTCTGATAATTATCAATTTTTTTGTTTCCGATATGTCAGATCAAAACAGTTTTTTACCAACAGAATTTATTTTCCCGAAGGAAATCAAAAATTTGTTGAGAAATACAAACATCTCTTTTGATATAAGTTTGAGTGATTTTGCAATAATTTCAAAGCTTACAAATAGCCGTTTAATTATAACAATGCAGACAAAATTGCGAGATGTTTACTAATTCTGCTTACAAAATTGTAGTTTTCAATAAGCTGCAATTTTCCGCTCATGTTTTGCTGCAAACCGTTGTCTCTGTTCAGAAGAAGAATTGATTAAGTTTATAGGCAAAATTTGGAAAAACTCAATTATACGTTCTGTATAAATTTGCGTACGCTGTTTTTAAAGATCGAGAAAAGCAGTGGTTTTTATTTCTTGAGAATGCCCCTGATTGTTTCTATTGTAATTTAGAATGCAAAACATTCGAACACCTAATTTTCAGTTGTCCCTCGCTACAACATTCAAGAAATATATCACAGATTAACAATTGGCGTGACGTTTTTGTATCAACCAACATTGCAAAGCTTAAGTATGTTGTTGCGGTTATTCGTGGTGCATATTCAAAATCATCGACGTCATGGAAAATCAACTTGCAAA